AACGCCCCCGGCACCCCTAGTTCACTTCTACAGCAGCCGAATTTTCCCACATACTCAAGAGAAATGGGCAGTGATCATGTCATTACTGTGGCAGGCCTGAGGGTGTAGCTGTGACAGGAACCACTGGTCTGCTGGGGACCACGGTAACCAACAGTCGCTGTGAATGAATCGTTCTGTGGTACTGGGAAACAACCACTTCCTGTACCACCATAGCAACTTGAAAATCATACCTTATTCCCGAGGACATCAAAAGGGTCCTATTCTGCCTGACCAAGAACACCACGCCCTTGTTGCACTGATGCCAAGAGCAGAGACCTTCGCAGCCGTGAAGCCTTGAGCACATGGCCGGGAGGCGGCTCAGCAGCAGGTAGAAGCACTGCCACCTAGTCTGACATCCTGTGTTTAATCTCTGGGACCCATGTGATACAGGGGGAGTCTGACTTCCTCCTCTGTACACATACTGCAGCACACACCTGTGCACATGCACAAACAGGTTATCGTGCACACGAACATATGTGCACACAGAGAGAAAATAAATAAAATGTAATAAAAATGAGAAAACGATTTGAAAGTAACTGTAGAACTGTTTGCAGTTCAAACTTTGAGTATGTTTTTTTATTTGAGGAATGACTTTCCAAATGCAGGCTACTCTGTAACTGGCACTGAGGGTGACCAGAACATGTTACCCCAATATATGCCTACCTGCCACAAGGATTGTTTGGAGCTAAAAGCTGATGTCTAGTGATCTCTCCTTCCCTGTTTGCCTAAGGCAGCCTACAAACAGGCTTTCTTCCAGAGCGACCTTAGTAAACTGTTGTGCCCACATCAGCCTGCAGGGGGCATCAGAGTGTACCGTACCACAACCAGCAACCAGGCCTTCTCTACTCCCCTGTCCCGAAGATTCCACCCCTAAGCATCCAAATCCTCTTCCTTGTCTGGGCACTTCTCTGGGATTTTTTTTCATCCCTGGGGATCCCACATCCATGGCGTGCACCTAGCCATAAGCCCCTGCTGGGTTTTCTCTTGTTCACCCGTCTCTTTCAACTGAGAACTTCCGATGCCGGAGCTGGGGAAAGCACTTGCTTGCCCTTGCCATGCAGGTGTGAAGACTTGATTGATTCCCCAGAGACCACATCAGCGCAGGCATGGCAGTAAGTGACTACAATCCCACAACCACGGGCCAATGGAAGGCAGAGAATTGCCAGATGCAAGAAACAAAAGACCTGTCTCAAACGAGATGGAAGGTGAAGAATGACACGCAGTTGTCCCGACCTCCATATGTGCTGTGTGACACATGAATGTGTGTGCTGCATGCTTGCACATAGGCACACATCATACATAAGTTTTTAAAAGAACTTATGAGTGAGGAAAAGTTAGTTTTCTCCCCTATAACATTATCTTTTAGTATGAAATATCAATATTCCCCTAATAATTAAGAACAACAAATCTAGAGGCACATGCCTTTAATCCCAGAACTTGGAAGGCAAGGCAGGTGGATCTCCGAGTTCAAAGCCAGCCTGGTCTACAGAGTGAGCTTCAGAACAGCCAGGGCAACACAGAGAAACCATGTCTTGAAAGCAAAAAAGAATATGGCAACAAAACTTTATATTTTAGGTGTCAGTCAGAAGATACTTCACAAAACAATTTAAATAACCACAGAAAGGAAACCTGCCACCAAACCAAGCCCACATATCTACCTCTCAAAAAGAGAGCTCAAGGAATTAGGGTGAGTAGTTACAGCAATGAAACAGCTTACTCATAGATGGAGAGATGGCTCAGCAGCTAAGAGTCCTTAATTCTCTTGCAGAAAACCAAGGCTTGGCTCTCAGAACCTGTGGGGCGCTCACATCTTCCCATCACCCCATTCCAGAGAATCTGGTGCCCTCTTCTGGTCTGCTTTAGCACTGCATGCATGTGGTACACATATAAATATACAAACACACAAATGAAATTAAATAAATCTTTAAAAATATTTACTCAAGGGCTGGAGAGATGGCTCAGAAGTTAAGAGCACTGACTGCTCTTCCAGAGGTCCTGAGTTCAATTCCCAGCAACCCACATGGTGGCTCACAGCCATCTGTAATGAGATCTGGCGCCCTCTCCTGGCCTGCAGGCATACATGGAGGCTGAACACTGTGTACATAATAAATAAATCTTTAAAAAAAATATTTACTCAAGACATAGGGCAATGCGTTGGGAAAACACCAATTTTTAAAATTATACTTTATTTATTTATTATATATCGGTGAGGACATACATGCCATGGTGCACTTTTGGTGGCCAGAGCACAACCCGTAGAAGTTAGCACCCTCCTTCCACCATGTGGGACAAACTTGGGTCACCAGAATTGATGTCAAGTGCTTTATCCATTAAGCCATCTCACTGGCCTTAAAAAATACATCTTAACTCAGTGTAAGCGAGGCAAGGAGAAAGAAGAGGGGCTTAGGTAAGGAAAGAGTGGTGGCTGGACATCCCTAGGCCCCGTTCCATGGAGTGGAATGGGACGGGGTTGTGAAATTGGTGGTCAGTACACATGTAATCATGACACCATGGTGCTCATTGCAACAGATATGTCATCTATGACGTTCAAATTGAAAAAAAAAGAGTAGAAAAAATATGATTTTAGTAAGGTTTTTAAAATTATTTGTGTGTGTACATGCACCTCCTTGTCTGCGTGTGCACCACATGTATGCAGTACCCACAGAGGCCAAAAGAGCCTCAGATCTCCTGAGCTGTAGTGCTAAGAACCAAACCAGGCCCTCTGCAGGAACAGTGAGCACTCTTAGCCACTGAGCCACTTATCCAGCTTCCTAAATAACTTCATGGTTTTGTGTTGGGTTCATTCCTAGAGCATACACGGCCCTCGGGCCACAGATCAGACACACCTGCTTGAAACCTGGAAAATCTCAGCCACTCCTATCTTGACACCTTTTGGTTTGAAGAGGTAAGAAGGATTGGATGAGCTTAGTGACAGTCATTATTTACCACCTCCTAAGTACACATTAAGTGATTGACATGTCTGCATGAACTGACTCAAAAGGCAGGGCAGCAAAGGGACAGACACAGCATGCATACAGAAATGTCACCCAGCAGACCCAAGGGAACAGTGAGGGCTTTAAACAAAAGTGGTTTTCAAGGACCTGAAAAGTAACCCTGGCAACCTTCATTATCATGACACACATAGTCCTCATACACATGCACACACACACAGACTAGGAGATAACTTAGTGGGTAAAACACTTGCCACATAAATATGATGACCAGAATTCAGATCCCAAGATCCCCGTGGGTGGGGGTGGGGGTTTGAATAGATATGAACCCCATGGACTCATGTGTCTGAATGGTTGGACTATAGGGAGTGGCACTACTAGAGGTATGGCCTTGTTGGATGAAGTATGTCACTGTTGAGCAGGCTTTGAGGTCTCATATGCTCAAGCTACGCCCAGTGTGGGAGACAGTTCACTTCCTGTTGCCTATGGATCATGATGTAGAACTCTCAGCTACCTCTCCAGCACCATCTCTGCCTACATGATGCCATGCTCCTTGATAATGGACTAAACCTCTGAAACTGTAAGCCTTCCCCAATTAAATGTTTTCCTTTATAAGAGTTGCTGTGGTCATGGTGTCTTTCACAGCAGTAAAAACCTACTTACTTAGAAACCCTAAGTAAGACAGTGGGCATGGATGTTGTTTATAAATCCAACCTCAGAAGGCAGAGAGAGAGAGCTGACTAACAAAACCAGCCTTGTCAGTGAACTCTGGGTTTGACTGAGAGACTGTGCACCTCAGTGAATACGGTGGGAGAGCAACAGAGAATGATTCCTGAAACCAACCTCAGGCTTCCTCACATTTGCATGCACACACACACACACACACACACACACAGAGACACAAGCTTGCATGTGAAAATGGAAAAATAAAACAGTAAAAATAAAAAGTCACACAGGTTACAAATCATGGAACTATATATTAAAAGCTATGAACTGTACTCTATATCAATTTCGCTTCACTTAAAAGAATCAAAGCATTTGCTAGAGGCTGTACCGACGCCTGTGGAACACGTCAGTAGTGAAGAGCAATAAGGCCGCCAGGACGGGGCTGCACTTCTACCTCTGCACGTCCAGAATGATAAATGAGACCACCACAAGACTTCCATCTCCGAGCCAGAGATGGCTCACCTGGTAAAAGCACCTGCTGCCAAGCCTGACGACCTGAGTTCGAACCCCAGCCCCTCATGGTGGAAGGAGAGACCCTGATCCTGTAAACTGCCCTCTGGCTTCCACTGTCTGGCACAAGCAGCCTCCCACCACACACATCATGCATACAGACACACACACAGTAAATAAACATGAAAATGTAAAGTGTCTTCTCTGATTTCTTCAGCGTCCTGCTGCCGTAGCCACACTCCCAGGGCAGGCTCCGGTGTGCTGTAAAATGAGAGTCAGCTACATCTCCCTCCAATGTCAATCAGTCTCCAAAGATTGAAGACTCACTATAGGCAGACTTGGCTTTCTCTGTGTGTAAGCACATGTTTATGTATGTGTATGTGTGTGGAGACCAGACGTCAACACTGGAGGTCTTCCTCAGTCTCCTTCCACCTTACTTTAAGACAGTCTTCTCGCTGATCACCAATTCTGGAAGACAGGTGCAAGATGCAGAGGAAGCCTGGAGTGAGCGAAATCCTGAATATTTGACAGAAGCAAGGCCTCTTAAGGATTCCAAGACTAATTGGTCCATGGAAAACTGGCAAAGCCATTACCCATATGGGCCAGACTCAAGAGGGATGGCAAAGCTTGGGTATGATGGGGAATCTTTGTCAACCAATTATATTTAAGAGGTGGGACCAAGTTAGGGTGTGGATGATTCTCCTGGCTCTACGTCCTGAGTGCTGGGATTACAGGTGTGCATCACTAGACCCAAACTAATTTCGTACTTTTCAAAGATTATTATTAATATGTAGTCAAAATACAACTGAAACAAAGCCCCTCTATTTCTCATACCTTGCTTTAGAAAAATTATAAATTCCTTCACAGTTTGGTCCAAATTAACTCCATGATATACTACAGGTCTGAAATTTCGATGTTCAAATGAACGAATGAGGCGAACTGTGACCGTTGCTTCCTTGGCAGCCATGTGGCGAGAAACCTGTGGTAAGACACATGATAAACTGTATCAAGGCACGGCTGAGGAAGAGCGAGCTTTCGGATTGAGCTGAGCACGTATGGGGGCCTTCTGCAATCCCAGTGCTTGGAAATCGGAGTCAAGAGACTCCTGGGGCAATCCGGCTGGCAAGACTAGCTATACTGGTGCCCGGCCTCAGTAAATGAAGTGGAGACTGACTAAGGAAGACATCTGTTGTCAACCTCAGGCCTCCTCCACATGCACACATGTGCACCCAAACACACATGCACACACGCTACACATACACACACACATTAAAATAAATAAAATTCAAATAAAAGTTATTTCTTAGTCAGTGGCAGGGACTTTAATAATTGGCAACATTCTGTGTCTTAAGCAAGATATTAAACATAGGGACAGTGGACTATTTTTATGCCTTTCAATTTGTCTGAAATAGTTCATAACCACAAAGAAGTCACACAAACTTGGCTTTAAAAGTTTCTCTGAATAACTGAGTTCTTGTCCAATTGTTTTACTAAGTTTGGGGAAAGATAAAGCATATTAAGCATGAAAAACTAGGGAGTTTATTATTTGAATGCATCAAATAATTTATAATTAAAATTAGCATATTAGCTATAATGAAATGGCTTCTATAAAACAAAACCTGCAATAGATTTTCCCTATAAAATAAAGTAAGGGTTCATCTAACCTGCCTCTTGGTTAATAAACCTAATAAATCTTTTGATAACTCCAATATTGGTGATTACAGCATTCCCCATACCACCTTCATAATTCTCCTCAGAATAACACAGGCCTAAAAGCTACCAAACAATAGTTCAACATCTACAAAACAAAAATTTTCAACATACTGAGGCACTAAATATTACTGGCACAATCCAGTTTCAGGAATCTTGTGATCAAATATTCTAAATCTCCTTTGCATGCTGGGGCATAGTCTCAGAGCTTGGCATATCCTCCGTCAGCACTTTTCTCCTGAGCTGCTCCCCACCCAGCCCTGAGTGTCTTCTTTGTGTTCATGTATGTGTGAGTGCACAGGCGCATGTATGTTGTATGTATGAGTGGAGGTCACAAGACAATCTCATGTGTTGTTCCTTTGATACTGTGGTGATTTAAATAGCAATGGCCCCCATAGGCTCACATATTTGAATGTTTGGTCTTTAGGGAGTGGCACTATTAGGAGGTGTGGACTTGCTGGGGGAGGTGTGGCCTTGTTGGAGGAAGTGTGTCATTAGGGATAGGCTTTGGGGTTTCAAATGCTCAAAAGAGGCCCAGTGTCTCTCTTCCTGCTGCCTGAGGATCTAAATGTAGAATTCTCAAGCTACTTCTCCACACCATGTCTGCCTGCATGCTGTCTTGCTTTCTGCAGTGATGACAATGGACTGAACCTCTGAACTGTATGCCAGCCCCAGTTAAATGCTTTCCTTCATAAGAGCTTCAGTGGTTGTGGTGTCTTCACAGCAGAAGATTCTGAATAAGACAGAGGCCTTCTACTTTTGTCCGATACGCTGGTTCTCACTGGCCTGGAATCTTACTGATGGCCACATCAGCTGGCCAGTAGCTGCTGGGGGCCCACCTGTCTCTGACTACAGCACCAACTGCAGCTGTTTAACCCCACACTCATGTCCTCTGTTTACAAGGCATGTGCTTCTGACTGCCCATCTCTCCAGCCCAGGTTTTCATTCTGACTACATTTATTTATCCCCCCCCCCCCCCCGTCTCTCTCTCATCTATCTGTCTGTCTATTGTGGGTGCACATTCAGGTGGTGCACTGTGCCATGGTACCCATGTGGAGGTCAGAGGACAACTGGTGGGGGTAATTCTCTCTTTGCACAATGTGGACTGAACTCAGTTTGTACAGCAAGCCCCTTTACCCAACATGCTGTCCCTCCAGCCCATGCTCTGCTTCTCTTTCTTTCTTTAGATTTATTATGTATGCAGTGTTCTGCCTGCATGTATGCCTACACTGCAGAAGAAGGCACCAGATCTCATTATAGATGATTGTGAACCACCACGTGATTGCTGGTACCTCTGGATCTCTAGAAGAACAGCCAATGCTCTTAACAACATCTGAGCTACCTGTCCAACCACATATTCTGGTTCTGGATCGTGATGTTAGTCATATATATCTGCACATGTGTTCAAACTGCATAAAATAAACATATGAACACATAGACATGCCTAGACACACACACAGGGGATGTAAAACAGTGAAATATGAACTGAAACCATGGACTGTGCCAACAGCAGTTGTCTAGCCATGAAAAGAGACTATATTCAAGCCAGGCCCACCACCAGGGGGACACAGGGGTTAGAGGTATAACAACTCTTATCTGCATTATTTCTTATGATTTCATGGAGAACTACAACTATCTCAAAAAAGTTTCTAAAACTCATCATTCAGTGTGGTGGTTTGAAAGAAAATGACCCATAGGGAATGGCATTATTAGAAGGAGTGGCCTTGCTGGAGGAAGTACGTCACTGTGGGGGCGGGCCTTGAGGTCTCTTGTTCAAGCTTTGCTCAGTGTGACACTGAGATCATTTCCTATTGCCTGCAGGTCAAGATGTAAGACACCCAGCTACTTCTCCAGCACCAAGTCTGCCTGCCCGCTGCCATGTCCCACCATGATAATGGACTAAATCCCTAAAAATGTAAGCCAGCCCAATTAAATGTCTTTCCTTCACAAGAGTTGCTGCGGTCTTGGTGTCTCTTCCCTAAGTAAGACATTCAGACAAGCCTGCTGCCATGATGAATGGAGGGACCGCACTGAACAACACAGCACCAAAACCATCAGGGAAGAGCCCAGTAGAGACCTTAGAGACACCACAGCAGCTATTGGCTGTCAGCACCTAAATGCACCAGCCAATCTAATGAATGCATCAAGCCCAGAGCTTCCAGCGTATTTACTGAGAGAGGCAGGATCAGTGACACAGAGGTAGCAGCCAAGGTCAGACGCTAAGGGGGTTTACTGGAGGCATGGCCTGGTTTCTTCATCAAACTCCCAAACAATAAAGAAGACAGTCTAGGAGACTGGTCAGGGGGTAAAATACTTACTGTTCAAGTGTGAGAACTTTAGCTCCTCAGAACACATATAGAGCCACGCTTGGTAGGGAGCATCTACAATTCCGGGGCTTCTGTGAAGACACGGAAACTAGAGCCATGAGAATCCTAGACGCTTGCAAGTCAGCTGGCCTGGCATACAGAGATGGGACAGCATGGACCTCTGCATCAATAACAAGGTGGGGTGGGGGCTGGAGAGATGCTCCAGCAGTTAGGAACTCACTGCTCTTCCAGAGGACCTGGGTTCCATTCCCAACACCCATGTTAGGAAGCCCACAACCACCTGCAATTCCAGCTCCAGGGGATCCAGCACCCTCTGCTGGCTTCCATGGGTGTCTGCATTCGTGTGCAGCAGTGGTTCTCAGCCTCCCTAATGCTGTGACTCTTTACCACAGTTCCTCGTGCTGTAAAGTTATTTTGTTGCTACTTCATAACTACAATGTTGCTACTGTCATGAATCATAATATAATCTTCTTCCTATGGTCTTAGGTGACCCCTGTGAGAGGGTCCTTTAACCCCCAAAAGTCCTCATGACCCTCAGGTTGAGAACTGCTGATGTACACAAACCCCTACACTGACACAGATACAGGCGCATAGATTAGAAATAATGAAGCAATGGGGGCTGGAGAGATGGCTCAGCAGTTAGGAGCACTTTCGACACTTCTTTCCAAAAGACCAGAGTTCCTAAAACCCACATCAGATGGCTCACAAACACTGGTCACTCCAGCTTCACAGGATCCAGTAACTTCTGTCCTACCTGGGCACCTGTACACATGTGGCACTCACATACACATACATATGAGCAAATCTTTAAAAACAAAAGTAAAATAATAAGCAAAATGTGGAAGATGAGAACCAACCCCCGAAGCTGTCTTCTAAGCTCCACATGCACACTGTTTCATGTATGCAGCTTCACTCACACATATACATACATCATACACACATCACACATACAAAGAAACAGTGAACTAAGAGTGACAGTCATGTATCTAGATTGGCATGGTTCAGACATGGGTTGGGCACTCATGTAGTGGTATGGAGGGGTGGTAGGACCTTCAAAAGGTGGTAGGATCTTCAAAAAGAGATGGGGCTCAGTGGCAGAGTAAATGCTCAGAATAAAGGGGGCCCCTGGGCTCAATTCCCAGCACCATATGGTTATATTCCAGTAACATACTGAGCCACGGCAAATAAATCCAAATAGCATTCAGTGGTTAGTACACCAGAATCAAGCCACAACGGACGGTGGTGGCACACGCCTTTAATCTCAGCACTCCGGGAGGCAGAAGGATGTCAGTGATTTCAAGGCCAGCCTGGTCTACAAGAGTGAGTTCCAGGACAGGCTCTAAATCTACAAAGAAACCTGTCTCGAAAAACAAAACAAAACCAAAACAAAGTAGAATCAGGTCACATGCCTGGAAAGAGTCTAAATCATCTGCACAGCACTGAAAGCCTCGCATACTCGGCCCAGCCTGAGCCCTCACCATCACAATCCACTTTCCCTGCATCCTTCCAGCTACAAAGACAGCTCCTGGCTTCCCATACAGTCACCCAGCTTGTGCTACACCCTCCCACTGTCACTCCCTTTATCCTCCAACAATGGGAGCTTCAGGAAGCAGGTCAGAGACTCCCAAGGTGGGCCAGCTTCGATCTGAGTGCCTCCTCCCTCAGGCTGAGCTCTGGAGCTCTCTCCCATTGAAGGAGAATACACTGCTCACAGGAAAATATACTACATGCTCGGTTTCTTCTGGATCTGGCAACTTGGGCTACCTGAGGTGCATCAGAGAGTCAGGAATGCTTGCTGGTGGAAGAGCGGCGCTGAGGACAACCTGCATTCCCCAAGACACACTAGCAGGCATCCTGCAACAACGCAGGAGGGCTACAGGAGAAGTGCACAAGCTGGGAGCGGTACAGTGCCTGCCTGGCACACATGAGGCTGGACCCCAGCACCCCAAAAGTCATCATAGAGGGAAGGAAGAGGGAAGGAGTTAAGAAGGGAGGGAGGGGTGAAGGAAGGGTGTACAAAAGGGAAGGAAAGATGGGTGAGAGAAGAGAAGGGAGGCAAGAGGGAGATAAAGGAGGAGAGGAAGGGAGGAGAAGAAGGAGATGGAGCGAGGAGGAAAGGAAAGAAGGAAGGAGATGTAAAGAAAATCTTATTGTTTCCCAACAATAACAAATTTTAAAAGCAAAATTAATATTTAAATATCTACAAAAGTAATATTCAAGCCGGGCGGTAGTGGCACACGCCTTTAATCCCAGCACTCGGGAGGCAGAGGCAGGTGGATCTCTGTGAGTTCGAGGCCAGCCTGGTCTATAAGAGCTAGTTCCAGGACAGGAACCAAAAGCTACGGAGAAACCCTGTCTTGAAAAATCAAAAAAAAAAAAAAGTACTATTCAACAGCAACTCAATATCTCTGTATCACAGGCAGTTCAGCTGAACCTAGGTTGGGCACACCTTAATACAGGCTTGGGCAGGGCTTTGAAAAGTGAGAGTGCCCGGGGCTTAGGAAGGTCTTTAAACCTCCCATCTACAAAACCTGTTCAGGTGGGTGTCTGCTGGAGCACCCGGTTCCCTGGCAGCCACATCACTGCAGAATCGAGGGCCCCACTGGCCCGGGCTTCAGCATGCTTAGGGGTTAAGTGTCATCAAAGTCAGGAGGCTTCCAGACTCCAGTCCTCTGAGTGACACACATTCAGGAACTAGGAAAGTAGCGACAGGCTGCCACAACACCCAGGACTTCGCAGTTTCTCAAGCCGGAGCCTCTCCGTGGGCAGAGTTCCCAGCTGAACAGCTAGGAGCCCAGCAAGGCTGGATCCTTCTCTCCTGGAGGGGGCAGTGGTATGTACATGTGAAACATCAGAGGCTGACATCCCTCAAACATGCAGAACACACATGTCCACATCACACTGGGTGTGGGCTTTATACTGATGGATCTCTATCAGCTCAAAGAAAACATGTAACTAGAGTTGATTTTGGCTGTTAACGTAGTTTGTGTCTATGAAGTTGGTTATCAACACTGAGTTACAACTCAGGAATCCCTGCTAAGACAAACACAGGGTCAGTTTCCTAGGAACTTCTGGTCCTGGAAATTTTGACAGTTGATAAAGACATAAACTGTCCTGTTTTGTCATGCATGTCTGTTAACGTTGAATTCACAGATGATGACATTGGCCATGTGTGTGGAAATTTGCCCACCATACCTGTCGGCTCTGTAAGGTATACATGGCCCTCTAACGCTTATGAACACGCAGTGATTCAGATCTACATCTGGAGGTCTTACACAAGCAAAAGATAGGTCGCAGCGACATGGTTCTGTCAGTTAATGGCGCTTGTTAGGAAAGCCTGAAGATCCAAGTTCAATCCCAGAACCCAAGTGAAGATAAAAGGGGAAAATTGTCCAGGGCAGCCAGGAAACTCTGTCTCCAAACCAAAAGGGGGAGCCCAATTCTACTAAGTTATTCTATGGGCCTCTATATGCACGCTGTGACACATTTATGACCCTTGTACACAATAACACTTTTTAAAAATTAAAAACAAAACTAAAAAGTAAAAGATGGGGACAGGGAGATGGTTCAGTTGGCAACGTGCTTGCTTGAATCCTCAGCATGAGAACCTGCATTTGGACAACTAGAATCTACATAAAAAGCCAGCACAGGGGCCAGTGAGGAGATTTAGCAAGTAAATGCCCTTACCATTGAGCGTGACCACCTCAGTCTGAGTCCATGATCCCATACCGTGGAAGGAAAAACTAACTCTTGCAAGTTGCCTTCTGACCTCCAATGTGTCCCACCACATACATACAGAGATAACTTTTAAATTAAGGAAAAAATAGTTGGGGCTGGGGAGACAGCTCAAGGTCCACTGCCAAAGCCACTGACCTTCACACAGTGAAAGAAGAGAACCAATCCCCTCAAGTTGTCCTTGGACCTCCGCACCTGTGCTATGGCATATGCACATATACATCTAATAAATAAATAAATAAATAAATGTAGTTTTTAAAAACTAATGAGTCACCTAAAAGTGATTCTTAAAGGAAGGAAGGGAGGAAGGGAGGGAGGGAGGGAGGGAGGAGGGAAGGGAAGAAAGGAGGGAGCGAGGGAGGAAGGAGGGAAGGAGGAAAGAAGAGCCAGTACAGTGGTACATGTCTATAACTCCAGTGGCAATATGGTAGGTGGAGACAGGCATATCCTTAGAAGCTCAAGGGAGAGATGGCCTGGCCTACTTAGGCTATTAAGGGATTCTGTCTCAAAAAAGGGGAAGGTACCTGAGGAGTGATATTCATGGTTGTGTTTGATCTGCAAACACACACACAAGGCTGGCAGACACACACACATACACACACACACACACACAGAGAGAGAGAGAGAGAGAGAGAGAGAGAGAGAGAGAGAGAGAGAGATTGATTGAGATTATGTTGGAGGTCCAACATGAGGAGCTGTATTAAAGGGTCTCAGAATCAGGAAGGTTGAGAACCATGACCTAGAGTCTTTCCCATGTGCATTCAAGTCTACGATAGCTGGATGATTGCTGTGTTTAGTTGAGAAACCTCCGTACTGATTGCCGTGGTGGCTGCACCAGTTTGCACTGGCACTGGGAGTGAGTAATGGCTGTCTTTTCCCCACGCCCTCCCAGCTAGGCCAGCTATCTTCTTAGTAAGCACTGTGACTAAAGAGAGTTGGAATCTCAGCTTTTCTACGTTGTCTTCAGGCTTGGCAGCAAGTGCCTTGACCTGCTGAGCTATCTCCATGCCCCTGAGACAGAGTATTAGTGTGGCTTTAATCTACTTTCCCCAGTGGCTAAGGATGTTGGTTAGTCTTTTCAAATTGGTTACATGTGTCTATTCTTTTGAGCACTATCTTTTCAGCTTTTTAGGACATTTATTAACCAGGTGATTTCCTTTTTCTGGTACTTTTTCTAGTCATTTGTATATTCTACATATCAGTCTCCTGTCTGATGTTGGTAAAAATGGTTTTTCTTTCAATTCTGTAGCCTTTGACATTTCCTCTGCTGTACTAAAAATTTACTTCATCTTACCTGACAATTCTTAGGATGATCAGATGCCTACACCTGTATATT